GTGGTCTTATGTTGGCTATTCTTTTGGATGTGTGGGTTCTGCGTCTGGAGGCATGTACATGTGCCTTTGCACTAGCTCGTTCCTTGCCCACGCTTATGCTTACCTTCGATGTTGTTGGGCGTTCTTCAAGCTTCGTGTTTGATCGAGGACGAAGCGGGACACACTTCTCCAACGAGAACGGGTCGGATTCGAGGGCGAATCCTGCTCAACCGGGGGAGAATGATGCAGAATAAATATAAGTATTTATTATTATTATTATTATTATTATTATTATTATTATTATTATTATTTAATAATTAGTAGTTGCTTAGGGAATAAGCTAAGTTTAGGGTTAGGGCTTTATTTAAAGGGAGTTATGTTTTGTTATGGAGGTGAAATTTGATGAATGAAAATAATTGATCGTGTTTTCTTTTGGGAGAGTATCCCGTTTTCTGGAGAGAGTATCTCCTTGTATCTTCCCGTTCGTTCACGCTTCCCCTACATCACATACCCCCTAGACGGTAGGAATACTTCACTCGAGACACCATTCCAGAGGAGCTGCATAGACGACGTTGTAAGACATTTCATAATGGTGGACACAAAGTGTGGGGGGGAATCCCGTCAAATGAAGAGTATCCTCGACAAAATCCCACCGTAGAAAGTCGTAAGCCTTCTCTAAATCGACTTTCACCACCATTTTCCCTGTAGCCCCGATTTGGTCTTCATCGAGTGAAGCAACTCTTGAGCCAAGATAATATTATCATGAATTTGACATCCCAAAATAAAGCTGGATTGAGCCGGACCAATTAGCCCGGGAAGGAGCGGCTTCATTCTATTAGTGAGCACCTTCTTCAACAACGTGTATACCACGTTCAGTAGGCTGATGGGACGAAAGTCTTTAATCATTTCCGATTGGGCACACTTAGGAATAAGGACGATCAGAATTTTGTTAACTTCAGCTGGCATATCCCCACCATAAAAAACCGACTTGATTAGATGGCACACCGAAGGCCCAATCCTCGTCCACTAGCTTGTAAGGAATAAAGCATTAAGCCCATCAACTCCCGGTTCTTTCAAAGGGCCCATCTCCCCTAGAGCCCGTGAAACCTCATCATCCGACACGTCTCTGGCAAGCAGACCCGAAGCCAGCGGGTTTAGGGACGGAAAACCTGTACCCGCCACCCTTGGCAGGGTAGAAAGTTGATCAGCTTCGTAAATAGATTGGAACTAACTTACTGCCATCCATCGTAAGTCATCCTAATCCGTAATCATATTGTTTTTGGCATCCTTCAAGGCAACAATTTTATTTTTACGCCACCTAGCCTTGACCTGTCTATGATAAAAAGTCGTGTTACGATCATGCCCACTCATGCATTGACTTCTGGATCATGATAACTTGCTCTTGTAATGACGTCTCTTCCAATTCTTCCGTCTGGTCTTTTCTAGCTGAGATAACCGTGAAGATTTGCGAAATTGTAACAATCAGTAAATCCCCTTAATACGTGCCATCAAAGTTTTCTTTTTCTAAAAAATATTGCCAAAAATCCTAAAGTTCCATTCTGTTGCTGCAGTAGAGAAGCATTTGGCCGCGTCCACAAAGCTTCTGTTATCCGTCCAACACGATTCCACAACATCCTTGAAACCATCATGCAGGAGCCATGGAGCTAATAACCGAAAGGGCTTCACTCCTCGAGACAAGTGATGGCCTACACTGCACTGAACAACAAGAGAGGAGTGGTCTGACTGTAAACGCGTAGCATGGAGGACAAAAGCATCCAGAAACTTGTCCAGCCAAGACTCATTACACACAAATCTGTCCAGCTTCTACGAGAGGTCGCATCGGCACCATGTACATTTAGTACCATCAGTCTTGACTTCATGTAGGCTATGGTCAAAGATCCAATTAGAGAAGGCTCCACAAACTCTACCTCCACGGGGAGAACCCTCAGATCGCTTAGAAGACCGCACAATACAATTAAAATCTTCACCAATCATCCAAAGACCTCTGATGGAGACAACTAGGTTGTGTAAAAGGTCCCACAACACCCACCTGCTGCGCAGTTTTGGAGAAGCATAAATGAACGTAATCAAAGATTTCTTGCCATCGATCTTCACGTGAATATGAACAAACTGTTTGTGATACTTCAGGACAGTCACCTCAACTCTCTCCCTCTATAACACCCATATTTCTCCTGAGAAACCAGAGGCCTCCACTCGAAAAGAACGAAGAAATATAGAGCGACGAATGAATTCGTCTGCCATCCAGGAGACCGCTCCATCAGAGTGAGCACAGACGTCTATCATTATGAACCATGTTCACATAGATA